ATATATATATATATTAATTTAAGAGAAACAACTCATGTATATTAATTGCAAAAGATAATTTTATCTATAAAAAAATATAAATATATTTCCTATATCATATTTGAAATGTTCTAAAAAAACAATTACAAAGATAAAAGAAAAGAATAAGCAAAGATGTGAATGTTAAATTTAAAACTAAAAATAATTTAAAGTTAATGTAATTAAAGTTTTATGATGTCTAATGTTTATTTTATTATATAATTAATAACATTTTAATTTTTATTTATGAAATTTGTATACGAAAATTTGTTAGAGGAAATTTTTGAATACTATGTTATAAAGATTTATGGATAATAGATATATATATTGTTTTCTCTTAAGAGTTTTTTAATCTAATTTTTTTAATGTGTTATTTTTTTTAACACATGTCAATTTTTAACAAAATAATAAATATTTTTAATAATTAATTTTAAAATAATTTTATAACTTTTTTACTTTAAAACTGCAATAACTTTAAAATAATATCATTAATGTTTTATGACGTGATTACCATTTCTCTATTAATATTATTTTGCGGTTATATTTTCTAATATTATGCAACTATTTCTAATTAAGTTTACTGCATTTTCTATGTTAATATTATGTCAAAATATTTACATTAAAAATTATAAATATTTTTTAACATGATTTATTATTTCTAAATAATAATTAACATAATTATTAATAATTTTAAATTTAAACTTTATGACATTAATAAAATTTTCTATATTAATGTTTATGTAAGTAAAACTAAAAAATAATTACAGATGATCAAAATCATTTGAAAAATCTACATTGGGTTACCCATGATTTCATAAATTATCTTTGTGTTTTATGAAATATTTGTATTAAGGAAAAGGTTTAAAGTTTAAACATTGATTTCTTAAATTCATTATTATTCTTGCATTTAATTTATAAATTTTATAAAATATATATGTTAAATTCCAACATATTGATTTTTTTTTTCTTATAACACGCATTATGTCTTTCAATTTTTTTAACATATATTTAACAACATATGTCTTTCAATTTTTTTTATGAGATTGTTATGTTGAATTTTGAAAATCTTATTTTAGTAGTGAATGAAATACACAATTTGATATATTTTACTATTGGTTAACTCATGAATGAAAAAATTGTTGCATATCAAACAACTTTAAAAAAAATTATATCATGTTTGAAATGATACAAGTCAAGAACTACATTTAATTGAATGTTATTTAATTATATTATTTCAAGTAGAAAAATTTAAGCTATTCCTCAAAATTTATATGGTTTACTATTTCAATTATTGCAAGTTTTTTGTTCTTTCAATTTAAGTATATTAAATTTATAAAGATTAATTAATTGACATGATTAACTATCACAAATTTGAAAAGACAAAACAACTCAATCAAACAATAATTTTAACACTAGCCAACATTTTAAGCCTAAAATAAAGCAAAAACACATTTTCACATCTCCAATAAAAATTATTTAAAGATTAATTAATCAAAACAAATAAAATCAATTTTTCTAATCATTTCTTATATAAAAAAAAGTACTTTTAGCTGTAACTTCATATACATGATAAGATCAAACTTTAATTCTTGATATAAGTAATAAACCATTTAAACTAACAATTTTTTTTAATATAAAGATACATAATCAACCTTTTCTATTATTATAAAATAAACATAACAATTATTTCAAAATATAAATAAAATACACTTTAAAACATAAAATTAATAAATTAATTCTTTATTATATATATTATTACATAAAATTTATTTTAAATTAATAATTCGTCACACGGTTAATCATACTGGTTTCAATAAATAAATAAAAAGGATATTTCTTAAAAGAGTACGTTGCTTGTAATCTTCTTTAAAAAAATCCATATGCTATTGGAAAGAGGGAGAATTCATTTAAAAATAGGAGCAAAACTGCGACGCGTACGGAAAGATAGTCAGGAATGTAAAGGACCGTCATGTTTTTTTTGGTTCGTCATGTTTTTTTTTTTCATGGAATATCTACCGTCGAGAGCAGTGACTAATCTCCTCGTTACGTTAAAGACACCTCAAAAGGTGAAATAACTAACCTCAAGATTTAAGTACACAAGACAGGATTCGAAGACCGTCATGTTTAAAACACGGTTTATGAATTTTTATTTTTGACAATAGGAAACAAAATTCCTTGAAAAACCTATCCATAAAAGTCTCATAATTTTTAGTGAATTTTTTACTGGAATAATATTTTTTTTTAAATTACAAGAATGATCACTGTGCAGGATTATTTACCAAGATAGAACCATTTACTGTTCAAGCTCAGAATTTGGTTCCCGGGAAACCGAATTCTGAGCATCAAAATGTAATTTTTTTTGTTTTTTCAACTCAGAATTCGGTTCCCGGGGAACCGAATTCTGAGTTGGTTTTAAATTTTTTTTTTTTTCGTGTATGAGGGCAAATGTGGGCTGATCTGGGAAGCGGAACGGCCCGTTCCAAAAGCAGAACGGCCCGTTCTGATTAAAGAATTTGCACTCTGTTTCTTTAATCAGAACGGCCCGTTCTGCTTTTGGAACGGGCTGTTCCGCGAAAAAAAAAAAAAAAATTTAAAACCAACTCAGAATTCGGTTCCCCGGGAACCGAATTCTAAGTTGAAAAAACAAAAAGAATTACCTTTTGATGCTCAGAATTCGGTTCCCGGGGAACCGAATTCTGAGCTTGAACAGTAAATGGTTCTATCTTGGTAAATAATCCTGCACAGTATCATTCTTGTAATTTTTTTTAAAAAAAATATTATTTCAGAAAAAAATTCAATTTTTAGTGTGTTTATATTTAAAAAATGTAAAAATTAAATTATTTTAACAATCAATTATATTTTTGTTTGTATAAATTTGTTAAAAAAATCAAGTTTGTAATATTTAATTGATTTAAATACATTTTTAATCTTTCAAATATAAAGTAAATTTGTTTTTATTCTTTTAAATTAAAACTCTTTTCAGTCATGTAATTTTAAAAAATTGTCTTAATATTTCAGATCATCAATATAATAGCTAAAAGATATAAATTGGGACAATTCTGCTACATCAACTAAATTTATTATGTTTTCATTGACAGAGGTATTGGTAAATAAATTTTGTGCGACAATATTTCCTTAAAAAATTGAGCATAAAGACTAAATAAAATTTTTAAAAATTACATAAACCAAAAAAATAATTTTAAATTAAAGAATTAAAAATAAATTTATCTTAAATTTGATAGATTAAAATCTTTTTTAAACCTATTTAATCTTGTTTGGATACGTTTAAAAAATAGTTTTTATATAATAAATTAACTTTAAGAAAAAAAATGTTAAAAAATAATCATAAACTTCAAAATTTCGAATTCATAAAAATAATTTATTTTTCAGAAAAAAAATATTTATAAATTTTAGTTGCTGCCTCAATTAACAAACTTATTTTACAAATAAGTTTTTTAAAACAAAAAAAGCTGAATCCTAGAAGAAGAAAAAATCTTTCCCCAACATGCACTTAAAAGGATCAAGAATATTTACATAATGCAACTGGGTCTATTGCACCCGGTCTGAAATTTTTTGGTTAAATAATTGACTCCCATTTGTTATCTAAATTTGAATTTTATCATTTTATGTATTTTTATACATAATTCGGTCCTCAACAACGAAAACCTTAATATTTAGAAAACATAAAAGACCAATCATTCATGAAGGAAAAAAATAGTTTAATGCAATTAGAAAAACTAAAACCTAAATAAAACATTAGAGGCCAAAATTCATGATGAAAAATGTAAGAATGGGTATCTAAAGGAATATAGAGACCAAAATCTTAAATATGTAATACCCTAAAAACCATTTGTTTATCTTAACCACGTTTATTTTGACCTACGAGAAGCTAAACCACAACACCAACCGTTAACTTGATCCAAATTATTGCTTTAGTCTTGGAGAGAACCCTTCTCTACCTTAGAGTAATAACCTGGATCGGTTTAACAAAATCATCTAGAACTGCTTTTGTGAAATGAGAACAGATCAGAAAGGGCAGCAAAGAAGAGGGACCGCAACAATCTGCTCTAAATAGAGATATGTAATTGAAACACTGTTAAATTCCTAAATACTCTTCAATATCAATTTTCATAGCTTGGCTGCATTTTCTAAATACACGTCCAATAGTTCCAAACCAAATTTAAGAGGTGCAAACAAAAGGGGAGTTTTTAAATAAAAGGTTCAAATACAATAACATCACTAACCTTAACACCACTGATTATGATTTCCTATGGTACAATGCATTGGAAGAAGCAATTAAATTCTATAGCGACTACTTTTAGGATGAAGACGCTAATTGCTTCAATTTTGCCTGCAAAATAACCCCAGCTTCATCTGCCACACTTTTCTTTTTGGATGCAACCTGCAGTGTGAATTGTACAAAGTTATTTTTCTCTTGGATAAGGTAAAAAAAGTAATACGAGAATTCTTCAATTTGGGGCAATTTTCCCCTTTAGAAAGAAGTGCTTCTTTTTTTCTAATGTTGATAATTGCTAATAGAAGCTCATGGCAGTAAGCCAAAAGTCTGACACAAAAATATGGTAAATGGTTTTGCAGTCCATGGCAGCAGCATGGTGGCTATGATAGAATAGAGTGCAACTCACACACACACGCGCGAATATCAGAGCAATCTAGAAATATATGTTAAGAATAAAACTTTCATCAAAAAGCCCACAACCCACAAACCTGGGTTATGACTCTTCTAAAGAGAGGGAGTGCATTTTTGAGGATAAAGTGTACTAACAATTGTTGATTATAAAATTAACAATTAAGATTTGTGATAAAATCAAATGCTTGCAAAATAAAAACTAAAATTAATTTTCTCTCACTCAACCACCTTGAGTTTGAGGGAGGAATATTAGATATATAACTAAGTTCACAGTTTATGTTCGGGTGTATTTTCGTTTCTATGTAATTTGCATTACATTTGGTACAAATTGGTTCTCCTTACAGCTATATATATATATATATATGTATAGCTGTTTCACATGTTTTCAGGAACAATAATAAAATAATTTTCTCTGTTTCTATTATATAATATCAACCATTGGTTTTTTAAGCAATGGTTATTATTGCAATTTACTCTCTCAAATGCAATTCCTTCACTGTAGAGGAGCTAGATCCACAAACTTGAGGGATAATACCATAAGCCTCATAGCAAAAGTGCAAAGAAGTAGAGAGAAACTCAAAACAGAGGGAAATAGAGAATTTTGGACAGCACGGGGAAATAAAGAAAAAGAGAAAAGGAAATGGATATGAAAAGAATAAATAGAAACAAAGAATCGGAGGAAGAAAAGGAAGCAAAATTAAAGAGGGACTTATGAACAGAGGGGTTAAAATGAGTTGTTGGGGTATTTGGTAAAATGGGGTCTAGAGTGTTGGATTTGGTTTAGCAAAACAAAAAATGTTAGATAAATTCAGTAAAATCGGAGCATCTTTGAGTAAATTTTTCTAGAAACAATTCTAAAAATAAAATAAGCTTCTTCATAGACTAAAAATAGCTTATACATAAGCTAAATTGTACAAACTACCTCCTATTAACTTCTTTAAAATCTTATATTAAATATATCCATATACAAGAAGCTTATTTTAATTTTCCTTTCAGTACTTCTATAGAAGTTTATCCAAACAGACCCTAGGACACCAATGTTAGTGGATTTGATTCAGCAAAATAGAAGATGTGACTGCATGATAGGAGACATGAGGCTAAATGTTATAATTCTAGTGTTTATAAAAAGCTCAATGTTCAATTCATTGATAGTCTATGAACAGTCATGGCGGTGGTGTTTCAGCCACCGCCACCCCCTGCATGATAGGAGACATGAGGCTAAATGTTATAATTCTAGTGTTTATAAAAAGCTCAATGTTCAATTCATTGATAGTCTATGAACAGTCATGGCGGTGTTGTTTCAGCCACCGCCACCGCCACCGCCACCACAAATGTGACAAGTCAGTTAATCGAGGGCTTTAGTTAATTAGGTGTCAGTGATAGTATCTACCAAAACATTGTCTTTAAACCTAGCATAACAAGTTTACAGAAAAACCTAGAAAAAAATAAAAGCAGTGGAAATACACATAATAGAAGAACAAGTGTGAAAGAGGAAACCCACGTCAACAAGCTGATCAAAATTTGATTTGAGCAAGTTGATTTTGCGGTGGCAGTAGTCTTTCCCTTGAGGCATGGTTTTCTGGATGAAGTAACCGGTGCCGACGTCGACGAGGACGTGTTGAGAGTCGTGGAGAGTGGCGGGGACGTAGAGGGAGGCGGTGAGGGGGACGAGGATGTGGTTGCCGGGAGGGCGGTGGGAGAGGTCGTGGAGGGCGGAGGAAGCGATCTCGAGGCGCGTGGTGGCGGTGCGGATGTTGTTGAGACTGTCTTGGAGGAGATTCACTTCCAGATCGGCTTGCTCTTTCACCGCCTTCAGCTGCTCCACGCTCATCCTCTCCAATCCCATCGAACCACTCTTCCACGAAGAACCCATCCAAACGCCAAACCCTTCTTCGATTCGATCGCAACTCGCTAAATTCTTCCTTTTAGGTTACCGTTTTCTAAAGTTTTAAATTAATGGACACTTTTTAAGACTAGCTATTTTATTCTATGCGTTACGTCAAATAAATGTTTTTTTTCTTCTTAATATGATAATTATGAAAATTAATAAATATAGGATAAATAACATAAAATAAAGAAGAAACAAAAGAGAGAAAACATTTAAATATTCAATTATAGTTCTTAAAATATATTGATTATCACACACCAGATTTTTTTTGCAAAATCAAAATTACGTGACAAAGGGTGTCATTTCATTGAACATCTCAAAGTGAGAATATGCTTAAAAAACACCAATCTTAAAATTAGATTGCATACTAACCTTAATTGGGTAAAAAAAACTCTTAAAATGCATAAAGCAAATAATTTGTCATTATAATATATTATGATAATGTGATGGTTAAAACTAAAATTATACAATTATTTAGAAGTATAATAGTACTTCTAATTAGTGATAGCAAAAAAAATATATTCACAAAGATATTCTTTATAAATTTTAAATAAATAATTAAATAAATATCCATTTAATAATGAGACGAACATAAATAATAAGGTATTTGTATTCAAGGATACATACACTTTAGAAATATTAAAAATATTCTTAATTATAAATAAAATAGTTTAATTTAATTTATTTTTACACTAAATATATGTCATAATTATTTATTTAGTATAAATATATGTTATTTTTTAATTATAAATATAGATTTTATAATTATTTAATTTAAATTATTTAATTTCTTATTTTTTTATTTAAAATTTTATAATTTTTCAAATATCTATGAATATTTATGGTACTCGCAGATATATTAAAATTTTATAAATACTCAAATTAAATGAAGTGAGTAATCTCATATCGTGATCATCTTTATCTTATTTATATCTCTAATTACATTTATATTTTTAAATTAGAGATCGAATTTCAATCATTATTTATTTATTTATTTAAAATCTCAATAATCGATCATTAGTAAGGACAGCTATTGAACCACTTTTAAGAATAATTTTTAGAAATCAATGAACTGAATAAAGAGTTGGTTTCTTTTTTTAATTTAGGTGTTGCCGTGTTGATTTTGAAGTTATCCTTGACTCTCCCTCTGTATAAAATGACAGCCAACCCAGGCAGAGAAGCAAAGCAACACTGAATAAAAATAAACTGGATTTTGATACGGCCCACTAATATATAGTGTTGCTATTGCGTGCACCTGTCACGTAACCCAAGTGAAACGGCCCTAAAATATAATGTGGGTCCAGAATCAGTATCCATGTAAATTCAAAAGGTCCATCATAGGAGGGTTTAAATATGGTCCCAAATCATAACATGGTTTTTAACTTGTTTCACCACGACATTTAATTCCAGGGACCCATCAATTATTGGGAGCTGACCCTTCTGTTTAGCAATAATTAAGAAAACATGTTGGCATCCCTAAATTTGAAAACCCCACCGATAATCCATCCATGCATACAAAAGTACAAGATGAACAAAATCATGAGTCCACGGTATACTCGACTTCGGAACTTGGAGACAACTCCTTTCATTTTAATTTTTCACAGCTCTCCTCACGTAAAAATTGTGTTTATTAGTTCCTATTTCCATCTCATAATAATTGTTATATAAGAAAAAAAAATATTTTAACTTTTTAATGTAATATTACTTTTTTCACATATACTTCTAATAATAATTTTTAGAAAATTATTATATTATTTCTAACAAAGAAGATCAATAATGAAATTAATTTTTATAGTAGTTTTATTCTCTTTTGTCTATTTATTGAATAGTATAGTGACATAATATGTAAATAGTTGAGCCCCTTAAATATATATTAATTAAATTTCAATTCTCAGGCATATGTGTATGAAAATAGAATAAACTGTCGTAAAAATTGCCACCTTTCAAATATTAACATGACTGTATGATTCTTTCATGTGCACGAAAAATCATGTTTAACAAATCTTGCTTAGTACTACCTTATGTTCTAGTAAAGCCTGACATAATTAATACACAACTAATGTTAACATAATTATGTCAGCTAATATTGACATAACTTATAGAGACAGGTAGTAATAGATTATATTCTTGATAGTGTATATCAAAAAGAATTTCAACGATTCTACTGTTTTGACGAAGTTTTTTATATATTATTGACTAAAAACTACTTTGGTTATGCACCAAAAGAAATTGTCCTGTGATTATTTCAAAAAATTTAAAGTAAGAAGATAATGTCCCACCTTTGAGTTTGACAATAATAATGTATTTGGGAAAGAGAAAAATGAGGATCCATTTCCACAAATTCCTCCCAACCTCTTTCAGTTTCCCTATGGCATGCCATCCAAAAACTGTTTTCTACTCTTAGCTACATGACCAAAACATCTTTATCAATAATAACTGACCAAGAACTCATTTCTCACCAACTCAGCTGGACCAATAAAATAATATTTTTACAGATGTTTAGCCAGAGGAGCAGTAAAATTTCAGCTGGGCGCGAAGTTGAATTCAATTCCTTTATTTTTCACTTGCAAATGTCATTAATAGTTAAACAATAATAGATCATCCATCAAATTAACTGCCTCCTATTTTTATTTATTTTTAAATTGTGCCACAGAGATGTCAGCCATATTTATAAATGAATTTTAAATTTGGAAGAGGACCGAGATAAAATCCTTAAATTAGTTACACATTGAAAGCAATTTTTTTATGGCTGAGAGGAGATCAATGCTTCAGGTGATCCTTTTGCCACTTGAAGCCAGCTTCCAGCATTGTGTTAAATTTGTTTTGTGAGGCAAATGGATAACCGAGGGTGCAGAGGCACATGGTAGTAGTTTGCAAGGGCGTGGCAATAAAAGTCAAGGTCATAACAACCAGTTTAAATATGCCATTAATGTGATACAACACATCGGCCAAATTTGAGATTTTATACTCTCGGTAACAACCCCAGATTGACTGTTGAATCAAATGCACCAACACCAAATTTGTTTTAACCAAAGGTGAAACATCAAAAACAGTAACCATGCCACCTACGTATTTTAAGAATTGAATACAGGTTGTACCTAACCTTATCTTTCCGTAAATACTGAAATAGCGAGAGTACAAGTTCCAGAAAGAGTACCGTGTAAATTGCAAAAACTAGCAGAAAACCAAAGATAATCCCACGAAATCAAACATGGTGGTCACTGGTCAGTGGGCTTCAAGACACACAAATGAATTTACTCTTATAATACTACTATAATATAGCAATGCCACATTCAGTAAAGGGTCATTTTAGCCACAAGAATTTCAGCACACTGAATGGAATAACGATTGAAAAATGAAAGTGAGACAGCAAAAGGAGTTCCTGTGCACATAGAAACATAGAAAGTGACAAGTGAAGAGAAGTGGTAAAGAGAGAAACAGATGGGTTTTTATTCACATCACTGGCACCCCAAAACAATCCACTTACATACAAGAAAACATTATTCTCACGCTGATCAATCTAAGAAATGGCTAAGAATTAGATAAAAATCTCAAAACAGAAGTCAAACACGGAGTACAACCAGAGCTTTCTTTTTCTTATCTTTCACACACCAGTCACCTCTGAAAACAACAAAGACCATCAAGGAGCGTGAAAGTGGAGAAGAGAGAGACAGAGAGCTAACTCACCATCAGCATTCAGCTGCGCCAAATCCACACCTTAAATCCCTCAAAAGATGCCCCAATAGCAGCCAAGAGAAATGAATTCTCAACCCATGTTGAAAAGTAGGGTACTCCAACAATCTGGGAGTGACAGTTGAACTTGGGAAACACAATTCCCTCACCTCAGAAACAAGCTTGCAAGCACTAATTACCACAACTCCAACCGCCACCACCACCAAACCCGTAGACCCAGTCAATCAAAACTCAAAACCCACCACTACAGTGAAACATAAGCAACAATGCAATCCATCATTCCACTTATTGTCTTTAACTTGGACGACCCTCTTTCAGCACAACAACATTACATATCCCATTTCACTGGCACACTTCCAGTTCAAGCTTCAATCTGCAGCAATTTCTAAAATTAAATTACCATCACCACATTCCCCTCTTTTTTCCTCTCTCCTCCAACAAAGCCCCAAAAACAAATTTCCCAACTTCTAAAAAGCTAGTTAATTTCCCAAACCAAATAAAACCCTAATTGATGGACTTCTCCAATCAACACTAAGAAATTAAAAACCTAACCCTAAGAATCTCCTGCTTTCCACACACAACAAAGCAACAGCCACGAGAATATATATTTTATATATACGAAAAAAAAACAACACCACCACCACCACCACTTTCTTCCAACTCGAATCACCACCCTTGAAATCAACGAGGCTCATCGTCTCTCCGACCAGAATTCCCAGGCCCACCGGACAATGAAGCGAGCAAATTGAGATGGCCGGGAAGGTAATTCCCAACCCTCGCCGCCGAAGCTTCTCCTATGGCCTGTTGCTGTTGTCGGTGATGATGAGCGAAGAGCGAAGCCTGTTGCTGCTGCTGCTGTTGTTGCTGCTGTGACACCGACACAGCGGCGGGCTGCACCACCATTTCGGGAGCAGCGGCGGCGAAGCTCCAAATTTGTCCGAAATCGGGGCGGGCCGGGAGGGCCCACAGTCCGGGAGGGGTGGAAGGGCCCACGAGAGAGGGGCCCACGGAAACGGCCTCGTCTTTGGAAGAGTCTTCGTCGGTGCGTATGCGCTTGCCGAGGATAAAAGGCGTGGGAGCGAGCAACTGGGGCTTGTGGTCAGTGGAGGAGGAGCGAACTGAGAGGGAGACGGAGGAGAAGGTGGCGGGGGTGGTGCCGGTGCCGGTGGCGGCGATGATGGAGGGCTCGGCCTGGCGGAGGAGCCACTCGATGGTTTGACCGTCGGACTTGTGGCCGAGCTCCCGCGTGAGCTGGAAGACGCGGGCGGCGCATATGATGGGCATGCGTATGCGGCGTCCGCGGCCGTCGACCTTGCTGTGGCGGTCCTTGGAGGGGGGCTTCTTGACGGCGAGGGGCTGGTTAGTGGTGGCGTCGGAGGTGGACATGGTGTGTGAGAAAGTGTTGATTGTTTGTTGCAGTTGCAGGGAGAAAGAATAGTGAGGCTGAGGCTGAGGGAACAGGGGTCTAATGATTGAGCGGCAGGAGCTGGTGGAGACAGGAGGAGAGCACATGGGTGCTGGGCTCCACCTCTTCTCTCTTCTCTCTTCTCTCTTCTCTCTTCTCCCTTCTCCCTTCTCCCTTCTCCCTTCTCCAACTCACGCGCCTTCCCTCTCACCTTCCTTCCTTTTCCCTCCTTTTTTACCCTTTCTCTTCTAAATTATTAATTATTATTACTACTCACTCACTCACATATTCCCAATTTTTTATTTACATTTTCTCTAACAAGGACCCCTTCAAGACCAAACACACAAATTAAATCATTTCTAAAATAATTAATATACTAACTTTATGTCCCTCTTTATTTTAGGGAATTTATTGTTCACGATGAACAAAAAGTGAAGAAAGTTCACGTTTATTTTCGCTAATTTGCATCTAAAGAAAAGCGAAGAAAAGTGGGAGAACGTCCTCGCAAAATTGTGAAGAAAAGAGATGAAAGTCACGTAAGAAATGAGAAAACCTGATAATATCCCTGCCCCAAAGGTTGAAAAGAGATGAAGAATAGAGGCACATAATCGATTATGGGCTGACATAATCGATTATGCCTCAGCATAATCGATTATGCCAACCCATAATCGATTATGTGCTATGCATAATTGATTATGTGGCAGATTTTTTGCTTCCAAGCAAGCCCAAAACGGACCATTTCAAAATTGAAATGGGCCGTTTCAAAATTGAAACAGACCGTTTCAAACTACTAAAACAAGGGTAATTTAGTATCCTAGAACGGGCGGTTCCCAAACTGGAACAGGCCGTTCCAAACTACTAAATTGTCTTAAAAATCCTAGTTGAGAACGGGTCATTCCAAATTAGCTGTTATGAGTAAAAACAATGTTAGAAAATATAATTATCATAATATATTTTGTTATTATTATTTGTTATTATAAATGTTATTATTATTATCATTATTATTATTTATTATAATTACTATCATTATTATTTATTATGATTCTTATTATTTTTCTAATATTTATTACTATTATTATCATTATTTATTATTTTTTTTAATAAATTATACCTATTAATATAATTTTATTGTAATTATTATTATTTATAATAAATAATATTTTACTCATTTTTTATCCAAGGATAAAAGTGTAAATTACATATTCATCTATTAAATTTTTTATTTTTATCTATTACATCAATCAATTTCTACACAAATTCTCACAAACTTTCCACTCACTTTTCACTATCTTTCCCTTAATCCAAACAACCTTACTTTCCACTTTCTTTCTCTTCAAATCTTTCATTTTCCAAATCCATCCTTCAATCCAAACATAACCTATGTGTATCACAAAATATTATAAATAAGAATTACTGTCATAATTTATTTTTTTTTAGTTTTTAAAAGACCAAACATAAATATCATAAATAAATAAAATATTAATTCATTTTAATTTTTAGCTTAAGTTTACTATTTGTGACAACAAAAAATTAAAACATTATTTTTAAAATTATAAAAATTATAAAGAAATTAAAATTAAAGAACTTGAATAGTATTTTTATATATGTTTTAAGACTTAAAATATATTTTTTAAATTTGAGAACTAAAAATATACAAAACTAATAATAATAATATTTTTAAAATTAGAAACGCTAACTTTAAATTTAAGAGACTAATAAAATAATAATTTAAAATTTAAAATTTAAAAATATAATTAAACCTCGAATATATTTTGAAACATTGGATTGGGTCATTATTATTACTAGAAAGAAATAAATAAAAAAAAACATATAAAATAAATATTATTTTATATACTCGTGTTTTTGTTAACTATTATATTTATTATCTTCTCCAAAGATGAAGGGAATACTTTGTCCTTTTCGTATTGTTATTATTACTTTGAGTATTTGGGAGTTGGGACACGCTCTATTACTTAAGCCAGAGTATAGGGTACCCAGATTACAGGATGGTGTGGGACCGATTTACTTTCAAATTTAATGGGTATGTTATTTTTTATTTTTTCTTTGCAAAATGAAATATAAAGCTCTATTTTTTATATTTTTTTTTCCAAACGAAGGCAATTTTAATTATACTACATTTATTTTGCTGTCAAAAGGAAATTATACTACATTTTTTTTTTAGATATGCTTTTTTGTATTTAACATTTTTTTTTGCTTGATAATGGAAAGTTTTTTTATACATAGAAATTAAATTCATATTCTTTTCACATTTTTTAAATTACTCCTATTATTTATTAATTTTGAAGTTTTGATTTAAATGATATTATTAATTTCCATTTTAAAAACTGATGCAATATTATTGAATATATGTGCGGTCTTACTTGACAAGCGAAGTGGGAAAATAAATATATAAAATCATTCGTATTCAATATTAAATGAAATATAAATAAATTATAAAAGAAAAGTATTATATTATATGTAATTATCTATTCCGATTCTTATACTTGTCAAATTAATGATTAGGAACGGAAAATCTATAAGATTGTCTAAGATTAATATATAAACAATTCTTAAGGTAATCAATATGTCTAAATATTTGTAACAATTTTAACATCAACACCTCAACAAATCAATAAATCATACTTAAATACTTAAAATATTATTAACATCATACCTTAACAAGTTAACAAATCATGTCTAAATACCTAAAGCAAACTCAACATCACACGTCGACAATTATCATATGTATGCATTATACAAAGTCAATGAATATACATAAATCTAACATCATTAAATAATGTACACAAAATTGTACTTCAACAGTTTAATTATATAACCATCTACGTATATTATCTCATATTAATAAACATAAAACTAACATTACCTTTCAACATACAATATGCAATATATTCATCTAACTTATTTATGTTTACGAATTAATCACATAAACAACAAATTATTATAAGTCAACCTGTGCTCGACACTATCCACCCTGTGTTCGATGCCATTGAGGCACGGAGTCCTCTACCTCGTCCATGCCCAATGTGGATGAGGTAGTGTCCCCTGAGCTCTCATGTTTGACGTGACAAAATCCCATGCTCGACCCTGATATAGGAAGAGACGAGTTTCTTTTCTTGTGTCTAACATCACTCATTTGACAATTGACGCCAAATTAGATAGAGTCAAATCTCTCACCTTATGACTAACGCCATTTAAACCACACTCGATGCTATTTGAACCCAAGACAATTCTCTCTCCTCATGTCCAATGTCATCAAACATGCATTCAATATGTAAGAGACAGATAACCTTACAATGAAACTATGTTCGACACCATGAATATGTGCACATCATGACAATGAGTTTTACACATAGCAAACTCGTGAATCGGTTCTCCTTTTACCTAAAAGCTAAAAAATCAAACATGTTTTGCACCAAAACACGTATACACATCACCAACAACTCATATACCACAAAAAAATTCAACATGTAATGACCAATTTGATCAAAACCAATAAGTTCACCTCAAACATGCTTCAAAGCATTAAAACTTAACAATTTTATCATACAATCTGAATCCAACCAACATGATAGCAAATTGATTAAAGGAAATCAACATACATACCAATTAACTCAAATCCAACTTTAAAATGCAACCATTATTATTCGAAATTCACCATGTTCTCCTCTTGAAAACCAATAACACCCAAACTCTATAACCAAACATCAATATCATGCAACCCCCCTGTGTAAGTACAACTAATTAATGCAAAACAACTCAACACTTAATCAACAATTTCGATTCGAACTTTCATTTACCTTTAATTTAAAAAGAACGTGAAAGAATGAGGAAGAAGAAATAACTTCATATTAACTTAGATTCTCAACTCCTTAACTTGAATCTCAGCTTCTACCATTTCAACTATCTAATAGTGAAAGAAAAGGAATCTCTTGGTGAAATCAAATTGACGATTGAACTTTGTTAGTCCTAAAGCACCCTTATCTAACTTCTTTATAAAGTTATAGAGTTGTGAATTTTTATAGTCCATTTCTTACAACTTGCTTTTTATATCCCAACCTTCTACAAACTAACTTTCACACACTTAAATTATAGCATCTATAACTTAAGGTTAAAGTTATCACAACTTTGATATTCATTACTCAAAAGTTACGATAATAAAAAACACATGAAATATATTACTTAATTACATCTATCACAATAAATATAATTAAAAAGTATGATATTACATTAAAATCACAAATTATTAAATATTTTTAAAAATAAAATAAAAGTATACCCTTAATGTCTCTTAAATGTAATAATTAGTGTATATGATAAAAAAAAAGAAAACTCAAAGTCTATTTTAATTTGTCCTTAAAAAAAGGCTACATAATTTTTTTTTAAGGAAGGGGAAAAATAATGTATGAGAACTTAGGTTCTTATTCTCACTATTAATATTGTATAAGCCGTAGACCATATTCTCACCAATAATGTAGTTAGAGTTAATCATCTATACACCGTCAGTATAAATTTTTTTACACTGGCAACTAATCATATCTTTTAAATTATTTTTTTTATTTTTATTTAATTAAATAAGCAACTAATATGACACTATGAAAAGATATGATTGGTTGGTAGTGTAAATTTTTTTTACACTAGCAGTGTATAGGTGATTAACTAATATAGTTATCAAAAGAGGTGAAAACATTTCTCAAGTGTAAACTTTATATTTGGACCATATAATTATATATAAATAATAAAAATTATAAGTTATTTAGTAATCACATAATATTAAAGTCATGTATTTTTTTTAATTTCCACCATTCTAATAAAATTTAACAATATATTTATTTATAAGTTTTATTTTTAATAATAAAAAGTGTTTTTAATTTTGATTAACATTATTCCATCTCAAACTATAATTTTTTATCTTTTTGATTTTTTTAATATTAATATTTTTTATTAATTATATTATTTTTACTTAAAATATTTTTTAAGAATATAATTATTTTAAATTGTTTTTTAGTTGATATGATTAAAAGCCTATCAAAATGTAAAACATCTATATAGTTTGTGAAATAATTAATAATTGAAATACAATAATTTTATACAATATAAATATTTGTATTGTCATCCGTCATAATTTTTATTGAATATATATAAAATTAACTTTTATATATTTTTGAGTATTTCCCTCCTAGAATGTTACTATAGTCATATTCCTAAATAATGAAATGATTCACATTGCGTACTTTCGCTATCAGAGTGGAAGTTTCCGGTGATCTCCAGCTAGCTGTAATATCTTTCATTATCCACTCTTCTTCTGCCACGTCGGTCTCATTCCAACATAACATATATCCAAATTATTATTCTTTTTCCACATTCTTTTTTTATTTTTTAGTATTCCACGTGAAACATGCACTGCAATTTGCAAATCTCCAATATCACCCACTAGGTTTGGGCTTTTACCCAAAGGCCCTGCTCGCAAACTGGGCCGGGAAGGTTAGTTTGCCAAAGTTAAACGATAAAAATAGAGTTAATTAATTTTGGTCGCGGCATTTTAATAGGTTTTTTATAAGACAATACCTTTTTTTTTGGTGCACTGGAAATTAAAAGAAACTACAAACGAAGGAAGGAACGTCCTCTAGCATCATCACGTAGAGCTTCACATAACGAATGAGGAGGAGAGCCAAAGACAACAAAAGGCCTATCAAGAGACCCCCCCATCTTTGCCAATATATCTGCACAAGCATTCCCCTGACGCAGAATATGAGAAAGTGCTACCCTCCAATCACGCCTTAGCAATTCACGTATCTGCTGAATAACCACCCCAAAGTTGTGAAATTTGGGAACATGTTCCATAGACACCAGCCTAAAGGCTTCCAAAGAATCTGTTTCACATTGCACCTCTCTAAAACCAGCATCCCACGCAAGCAACAATCCATGTTTCAATCCCAATAACTCGGCCAGCAGCACTGATGTGGTTTGATGCCGCCCAGAAAACCCCGTCTTCCAAGTCCCTTCGTGGTCCCGAATAACTCCTCCAAAGCCCACGCAGAGATCCCCACTCTTATAACTACCATCTACGTTGACTTTCACCATTGGGGGAGTTGGCTTACACCATGTGACTTCCTGCACCTCATGAGAATGCACTTGCTCGCCTGCGAAAGCATTGTTCCAATCACACAGTGTGGAGTTAATCTATAAGACAATACCTTATTCATTCTTTTCAATTACATTGCAATTTACGAGTAAACCTTCGATTTAGTTTTTAAACTACTGTCTCTATTTTAAAATAATTAAATTATATAAGTAGTTCCTGAATAGACTATCAACATTGGTAGAATATATATCAACACAGGGACAAAAGGGACTAATAAGTTAATTATTTTTTAATATTTTAAGGATAAGTTGATGGTTTATTTAGTTTTTTTAATACCCTAAATCCTGAAATACTCAAGTCGGCACAAGTTTTTTTTAATGCATTTTTAATCTTTATTAACATGATTAAATTTAGTTTTAATTTCAAAAGAAATTATTGTTTTCAATTGTAATTAGATAATAAATGTTCCAATTTTTTTTTACAATAAACATTAGTGGTGGAGAAATAAAATGAAATAGAAAGAATGTCTGAAAAAAAAAAAAGTGAGTTTGATTTGAGTTAGCGTTGCAGATTTAAGTCATTATTATGTTGCATGAATAATCTAGTGTTTAGATTATGGTCATCATTCACTCTTCAGCGAATGGATGAATTTTGAGCGATACTTTCCTTTTTCAGGCTTCCAGCTTGCAAAGCAAAAAATTCAATGGAACCTTAGTCACTATAAAAAGGACGTAAGAGAGAAAAAGTTGGGACCCATCCCTTCTCAACAATAGCCCTATCAAGTTAATAAGTCATTTTTATTTTATTTTATCTTATTTTGTTAATTTTTTTTAATAAAAAGTTTACTGTGCTAAGTCTGTTAAAAAAATTGGTTTATCATATTTATTTGAGTTTTTTTTTCCCTCATTATTTTTATTTTAAAAATTCAACTCCAATTTCGCATCCTTCAATAATTTTCACTTAGATGATTTTTTTCTTCTTTTAAAAATCCTTCAATAATTTTCAATTAGATATATATAGTTTTTTCTTTTCAAAATACATAGACTAAAAGTTATTTCCATTTAGATCATATATCTAAAATTTAATATTAATTCAAAATTATTTAATATTTTATTTATATAGATCAAAATTAATATAATATATATTTTTAAAATATACTTAGATATGAGTTATTTGATTATCTTTTTATTATTATTATTATTATTATTATTATTATTTAATTTTAATACAATTTGACAAAACATTCAAAATATTATAAATAAATAATTTAATTGTTGAATCGATAAATTTTATTTTTTAATATAAAGTTATTAATGATGTAAAATTGTTGATAGTTTTCACCTGTCGTTAATCATGTTCTCAATCAAAATCCTTTTGTGTTTGTGCTTGAAATTGGTTGAAGGGTCACATTGTTCTAATCGGTCAATTTTATTTTTCTTTTAACATGTTTTTATTTATTTATTTATTTATTTTTAAATTTTATTTTATTTTAAACCACTAATAAGTAATAACTTTACACTTAGAATACGGTGATATCACATGTACCAAAAGAATAGTATGGTATGAGATATCCTCATTTTTACTAATTTTTTTTATATGAATATAATTAAAAATACATTTTCCGATGTAAAAAAAAAATTATATTGTCAATGAGTATAGTACATGCATTATAATTAATTAGAGGATATTAGTTATGAAAGAGAAATAATTAATGATAATTTTAAAAAATATATAAATAGAACAAATTTATTATTACCTATTAAATGAACTACTTTTCTTAATTTTAGTGAATTAGATAATTAAATTTAATATATAAAAAAGAAGATAATAATTAACAAATGATAAATCAAAGAGAGCATAATATTAAAATAACATACAGTATCTAATGCACACGGACATATATTCGATATCTTAAATAGCTATTTTCATGCGCTGTCTTTTGCCTCTTCCGTAGTATAATGACGCTAAATAGCTAAATTATTGATATTAATATATGCATTATGTGTTTCCTAACCACTACGAATTTGTTTTTTTAGTGAAAGCAACTGAAAAGGAGTGATTGATAATTATGCCAAGGATTTGATCCACCTTTTTTCGATTTGCATACTCCTACTTCTCTGCTTGAAATGATGGAACACTCTATGCTAGCCCATTAAATATTGGATCATGATCCTATTTCTGTATTTTTATATTGAAAGAAGGAATCTACTCGCACATTCTCTTAAAATATTTTTAACACAATGCATCCCACAGACGCTTACAATAAAAAAGAAAATGTCTATACTCCGAGGGTTATGGGCGAAGTACGTTTATGGCAATGGACAAAAGCCGACCCTTCTTTTCTTAGTGGTCACTTTTAACTTTTAAACAAATCTATAGTTCTTTACGTATCGGTAGATTTGGTGAAACCATGTCAAAATTGGCGGCAGCCATTAGAAGAATCTACAATACACGACAATTAACTAATTACAAAAATTAAATTAAGACCGTCAAAGTCACTGGAATCGAGATTGTCAAGGCTTGTTGTTTAGAAATAATCACAAGTTCAAACCTCACTGTTACATTGAGAAAAGAATAGCCTGACAAGTTACAGGAATAAAAAGAAAAAAAATGGTACGAGGACACAGATTACTGTCACCTAAGAAGTAAAATTGCAGTGAAATGTTATAACTTTTGAAAACATTTAGAGATACATAAATTTTATTAAATGTTTCTTGATATGGAGCTAATTGTATAAATAACCTATTCAAAGCTCATGAAACAGTATTCCATGTTTCTGCATCATTTGGATCATCCGTAACAATAAAAATGAGCACAAAAAAAAAATAGTACAAAAAATAAACAGAATTTGACAAGGTATCGAAAAACAAGCGACTGATACGAGAGGAGGCATATGTCAAACAGGATATCCCCAACTCCAAAGATGTTAATTTTGTTCTTTTAAGTAATACCTCCATGTCCACGGTTTTATCCCCATAGATAGTTTTTCCTCTTTACCTATTGCTTATGGGGGAGAAATATTGGAAGTGGAGGAATTTTATCTTCATGGATCTTAAACATAAGATACTGAGATCAACTAGTTTTAAATTGGAATTTTGCAAGCAAGTGACACTCAGACAAAACATTGTTTAACCACTACTTAGCAGATACATCTGGATCAGTTTAAGATTCACTCGGGAGAACATTGTAGAAATGATAAACCTCATCTTGGTCAATGACACCGACCTCTGTTGAGCAAACAGAACAACAAACTTGCTTGAATGTTTCGATATCGGTTGAACGTGCATCATCTCCATCAAATCCTTCTGTCCCTCTATTTCTTTTTCTTGATCTTGAATTATTTTGCCTCAAAACCTTGTCATTTCCAATTTTGCAGTTTACAACAAATATAGCCCTATACTGGGTCAAATATTTTTCATGCCTACAAGACACTAACGAAGCTCAGTCATCTAAATCATAAGTCACAACCGACAGTTTAGTCATACCAGTTTCCAACAAATATTCTCATGAAGAAAATCAGCATTCATTTATTTTATTTGAATGCTTTGATAGAAGAGCTTTTGTTGAGCTTGTTAGCTGTATAACAAAATGATTATAGGGTAACTGGAAATATTTCCATATTTGGATCAGAGCCTTATGAACTTTTGCAATAATAAGGAAATGACATATCAATTCACCGAATACTGAATTTCTTTGTATATTAGACTGAACTCATCAACTCTCCATCCAAAAGGCAGATTTAGATGAAACTGCAACTCAATACAAAATAATTGATAATATGAACCTGAAGCCTTTTTTTGATAAAGAAATATTGAGTGTTATTCAACAAAATGGAAACTTAATATTCAAATTTTTTGGAAAGATTAATATTATTATTCTCTGGGAAAATAATTACAACCGGAACAGGTCATTTTACAGTTCTCTTGCTATCAACAGAAATAGTTTCTTTGTTTTGTTAAAAAACGAAGAATAGTCACTTGAAATTAAATTTCCAATTTGGTAAATGAGGATCACTTCATCATTAGACATGTCATGTGATGAGACAGCAAGAGGAAAAAAATAATATATAGAAGATAAGTGGACAACAAATAATGGAAAATATCTCACTCTCTATATATATCATATATAAAACATGGACTGCAGAAACCCTTGATTTGTCTAAAATACTCCTCACTGCCTTTTAATTTATAATTTTGACACCAGTTCATAATGCATTAAACTATATTATTTATTTGGATAGGATGTCCTTATAAAAGATAATTTTGTTTTAAACTAAACTCTAGTTTTTTGCATCCTTTTTCTATAATAAATTTCTATATGAATAGATTTCTAAATTAAAAGGGATTTAGAATTAGTGATTCATGAATGCTGGTAATTGATAACAGCTGTACGCATACAGTTGTTGGCCAGGAGAAGGAGCCAAAACTTAACTAGAATAGGATTTAAATTATAGTTAGTAGATAGGATATAGTGGTGGTGCTATAAAAAAATTTCAACTCGTCAAAAATTCATCTTTTTGGAGCAGCAAGCTGGTCTTAAAGATTTTAGTCATATTCCATCTTGTATTCTCCAACAGGTTTTATCCGAAATGAAGTAAATCTGTTTTTATCGAAAAAAAAAGGGAGCAGCAATACTTCCTGTCACTAAGGGATTATTTGCTACATAATAAAAATTATTATCTCTGCTCATTTCAATTTATCCAGAAACAGAAAAGGCATTTCCACTGTTTAGAAAGCCTGTAATGCATCAAGACGTGTACAGAGCGATTTTGAATTTATTTTTTACAGCAAAGCAATATATTAGTTTAATAGTTTCTTGTTTCTATCAATAATGATTATTTTCTTCTTCAAACTCTCTTCTTATAGGAAGAATCAATTTCCCTACATTTAATGGTCATTACTAAACAGCATATGTAATTGTTATTGTTTTCTATCTCCAATCATCACATAACACACAATTTTATAAGGTCTGAACTGGACTTTATACTATAATCTGTCATCATATGTTATAAAAAATTAAAAAGTCTTCCAAGTCGCTTTGCACAAACAAGTGGGTACTGCTCTGGGTGAATTAAAAAATTAAAATGTTTGGATTATTCAATCTACTAATACAGTAATTTTCTCATACAAAATTAAAAATGTTAATTTAAGTAAAAATATATACATATGAGCGTGTGAAGCAAAACAACAACATAAGTATGTTTGATTGCATGCGGAAGACCACAAATATGAAAGGATGGTGAACCAAAACAGTAATTTTCTCATACAAAATTAAAATGTTAATTTAAGTATGCATATACCTTTGACATTCTAGGCAAAGGGTGGTGAAGCAAGCAGGGCAACTAAGCACAGCATCAGAGTCACATCCATGTCTTTTTTTATCAATCCACCGCTCATCCTTATTATCAAGCTCTGGATCATAAAACTCTGGTTTGGTTGTGTAGTCTATTTCGTCGTCATCAGAAACTGATATTTAAATTAAATAAACAAAAAATTAGGTGGTTATCTCAATACGGGGTCCGATGTTGCATATGCTGCTGGGACTTATAGGCAGTACAGAAAGGATAAGTATCCAGTTATATATATACAAGTTAAATGATTACAGTGGCAGAATTGAGGTCTAAACCTATTGCATTGAGCAAACATCCAGATCCCACACTAATCCTAGTGGCTTACAGAATACAATACACTTCTAAACTATATATGCAAATGCATCATCTACAAACACCATTAATTTATAGGGGAAATTGTTTATGCACTAACTATGTAAAGAAGTTTTACACTGCCATCGAATTACAAACTGTCATGTAAAGTAAAATAAGTTTGTTGTCTTTTATAATAATTAACTTAAAAGTTATATCAACAAATTAGTTCTTACTGTAAAACTTTTTAAACTAAGAGTGCATAGTCTTTAAACTCAACAAAATTTAATGGCATCAAAGTATCAATCGGCATATATGTATATGGAGTTCATAGATGTTGCATTAAAAGGGCTGACCTCGATAATGATGATAGAAAATTTAAAGCATTATTGCAAAAATGCAAACAAGGGTCACAATTAGAAAATTGTGACTGATTAAACTCGAGCCTCAGTAAATTCCCAGCATACAAGCAGCGAGCTCTATGTTACACCACTCATCAATTTTCAATAACTAAAGTTCTATTACACCACTCATCAATTTTCAAACAAGCAGCAAGCTTGTGTAAATAAGCCATATTTGTTCCCAAATAAACTGTTTATTTAACATTTAACCAGTAAACTGAATCAACTATGGTGAAATGAGCAAACATATATATTAAAATAAAAAAAAACGAAAATCCCTAATTATTAACTCTAACATTTGCATTTTCACAATTTCGCTGGGACTTGTGAGAAGAGGAATGAAAATGAAAAAGGAAAAGGTGCAAAACATTAAGATGGCGAAATTCATTACCTGTTTGTTGCGAATTGGTGGGTGAATCCGCTTTGTCTCGTTTGCCATCTCCTTCCATCTCCTTCTCTCGCAAACTCTATCGAAATAACTGATACAAAAAAACATTTAGTTCACTGTATCGAAATATTCAAGAGAGAGATAGTTTTTTGTTTTTTCAGCCGGCAGATCTATGGACTATGGAGATATTTGAGTCCGATACTATTGGGCCTATGGTGTTGAGCTAGTGTGGAGCTTTTTAAGCCCAATTCGATTGGGCCTATTGCCAAGATATCCCAGTTCGAGAGATAAATAAAAGGCTCCTCCCTGTTGCATTTTGCTTACTCTATCAATTCCCAATTTTTTACGTGATTAACTATCTTTTACATATTAGTTCGTATTAAATAAATTACAAAAAATTATCAATAAAAAATATAATTTAAGAGACTAATTTATATCTTGTATTTAAGGTATACAATTAAAAAGAAGTGAACATTTAATTAGCAAATTAAGAGTTAGCAATTAATGTCTTTTTAATTAGTTATAATGTTATAATTATATTCAATTAAAATAATTAATCATATTTAAATTCATTAATTATGAAAACTAAACCACACTGTTACCTTTATTTTAGGAAATTTCTAAGGTCAATCTTTCTCTTTTGTGTTTTTAATATTTTTTAATTGAATGTATTAATAAAAGACTTAAACACTGAACCACCCTATTACCTTTATTTTAGGTAGCTTACTAAGGTTAATTTTCTCTTTTGGGTTTTTAATATTTTTGAATTGAATATCTAAATAAAAGGCTCAAATTTGTTATAGCATAAATATAATATATTTTAAATTTTTATTTGATTATCCAATGAAAAATATTTTTTTTATAAATTATTTTAATTAAATCAGCCTTATACTTTAAATATGAATATATTGTACAAGAGTATTTTTATTATTCTTCGACAGGAGGATTTTAGATATTCCTCAAGGCCTCGACTTCTTATCAAATTCCATTTCATATTTATTTATGAAAAATAAGTAATATTTTTAAAATAATTTTATACTGCAATATAAATTATTCCTCTTTAATCTAAAATATAATTTATATGTTTAAAAATATATATTTATATAAATTTAAATATAATATATTCAAATATAATATTTATCTGTATATATAATTTATTCTACATTTTAATTATATATAATAAATATTTATTCTGTGAAATGCACATGTTAAAATACTTTATATATATATATATATATCTATATATATATATTATTCTTTTATTCAATTAAAATAATTTTATACTTTTCAAAATTATATATATTTTGAAATACTTGTAAATATAAATATATCTTTTAATATATATTATTGAGTATAGTTTTTTCATTTCGGAAATCAGAATACTAATTAGAAAAGAGAAATGATTCTTCAAACTTACCAACCGAGCAATCCTCCGACAGTTTAAAATTTCAAAATATTAAAATTAAAAAAAATATTTTATCTGAAATTATTGACACATAAATTATAGACTGATTCGGATATGAGTCGGAGGATTTTTTCCGGAACATGTAACATTCCTTTATTAGAAAATACATATCTGAGTTATAAAGAGAGTAAGCGTGTGGTTCAGCGATAGGGGTTGATCTACGCTTAAACATGGTCAGGGAGTTCGAACCCTACTTTGTGTATGCAGCAGCGTTAAATCTTAGGGCCAGCTATTCCGCCCTTTGAGGTGCCTTTAACGTAGCGAGGAGATTAGTCACCATTATCGGTCCTGAATATTCCAGGAACGAACTTAAAATAAAAACACTCTCGTGCATTAACCAAATCCTTGTGTATTCACTGATTTTGAAAATGAAAAATAAATGGTCACTAATTTACGATGAAAAGAATTTATTTATATAATATATTACGGCAATGTGGATATAGCAAAATTGGAATCATTTGGAAATCACTTGCAGTAGTAAAATGAAGAACCACCTAGGTTTGATTGACTTCAAATTTTGGTAGTGCGATGCACAAAATTTGACATTATATTTGGAAGAGCATTCGTGATTCTTAATAAGCATTTGGAATTTATGGAAGTTCAATAAATGGGACATGTCACATTTTCATTGAATTATTAAAAGTTTACAAAGCAATGATATATTTCGGGGGTTGTTGTTGCTTTTTACTAACGCTCCTTTATTCGTTGTGTTTTGTTTGTCTTAGACTCATTTTCTTGAATGTTCCCTTTTGTATGTGGCGTGATTTTGAAGAAGCCACTCCATGCTGCAAGTTCCCAAACATATATAACTTGTAGTTGACCTTCCTTTGCTTTCTGGTTGGTTGAAAATGTATGCCTCAGAAGATTAGATTAAGGAATTATCAGTGTTGGATCTCAGCTTAATGATAACTCAGACACATAGGAAAGTGACAATGTAAATGCCATCCAAAATGGCACGATCGTCGTATAAGGTACAGCTGGCTTGTAACCCCTGGAGATTAGGTAGTGCACAAACTTGATTGCCAGAATGAGCAAGCCATGGTGAATGGTTTTTGGTATTGAGGTCTTCACCGATGTTTCTGCAATTAGATTGAAAGATATATATAAGCATGCTTGTATGTATTGTTCAATGTGAGATGAGGTAATGCTGGCAAAATTATTAGGCTGAACTCACCAATTTTGCACAATAGAGTGCAATCATTCTCTGCCTTAAAATTCCTGGGAGCCCCACGAATGCATGAGCTGAAAATGGCCCCTGCAAAAAGCCCCAAAAGGGCATAAAGCCTAACAGCTTTGTTCATGTTCAATTTCAAGGCCTTTTCCTTTTCTTCTTTGGGACCTGATAAACCCTGCAGTTACTACTGATAAAGATAAAAATGAAAAACAAAGCTCACTTCTGATGTCCAAAGGATATGAGAATACTCCTTTATATAGGATCCTCAGACTCAGAGTCTGAGTCTCAAAGTTTGTTCGGCACGCTTCAGAATGGGTTGATTATTCAAAGTTCAAAAAAATAATTGGCCAGGTTGTTCAATTATTAAACACTCAAGTCAACTTAGTATTCCAGTTCTAGCAAAACAGTTTATTGTTAAAGAAATGCAATTTTGACTATGTACCCGTTCTTGCGGGGCAAGGCTGTGTATATTTTGCGAACAAATAAAATGAGCGCCAAGAATCGATTGTTGGGGGGTATTTGGTCAACATCTTGTTCTTGGATTTATTTGGGTCAGCTCCAAACTCAGTTTTAATATTGTAACAAAAAGAAAATTAATATGTAGTTATTGAATAAACTGCGAATTTTTATAATTTTTTTCCACTGCTGTTGCTGCATTTTGCACGTCCAAAAGTAAATTTAACGATATACAAAAAAAAATAAAAAATTTTAAAAGTAAACCCTTATTTATATATCTTATTTACTTTGTTATGTCGTCCTTCGGTGCAATGTGACTTGTGAGTCACCTATTTTCTTGAAATCAAATCACTGACAAACAATCCTTACTACAATCAAAAATAGATTTTAAATTCTTTTACATGGATCAAATATACGAACCTGAGTGAGAAATCCAGTTGTTAAATCATGGTTCTCAAATATGTAAGGAAGCCAAGAAAACCCATTTGCACTGTCACTTGTGATAATCAATTAAATTAATCACTTAATGGCATCCGACATTTATACTCGAAATTTAACACTACCAAGTCGTTACCAACCGCATACAAAAATAGTCGATCGATTAACATTGTTGTCAAAATTAGTGCAAATCCTTACAAAACAAGATAAAAAGGCTAATCCCCAGTTTTTTTTATTCCCGTTTGAACAGTTGATTTATTTTGCCCCATTCTTCCATGATATACACCAGACAAGATCTTTCTTGAGATTTTTAAACAACAGGCACCTCCATGATTACAGGCTCCCAATAAAATTCCTTTCATTATAACTTTAGTACTAAGTGCTTTTTACGGCGGCACCCATCCCGGACAAACATTTCTAAGACAAATGGACAAAATTAATTTGATTCTACTCAGTTCGATTAACTAGTCTAAAATAATATTATTTGGAGAAATAGAATAATAACTGTTTTCTTTCAATAAGGAAAAAAACCAGCTAACTAAAAATAAAAATTAGTCTACAGGTATAAAAGTGTAATTTCAGCATATCAACTACAAAAAATAAAATATATCTAATATCCAAGATTTTCACCATTTTGTATTATGTATGAAACAGGTTTAATTTACTTCAAATAGGATTGACAAGATTAAAAATATAAGACATGGTAAAATTTGGAACAGGTTTGTTTGAGCCTGTCATCTGACTTAAAATACTATCTGAATGTCTATTTATGCAAGCCTACTTCTAATTGGGCTAGTACGCTAGTGAATTACATTGATGGTAGCAATTCAAACTTAGAACCATGTGCATACTACCTTGATTCCAATCACTAGGCCGATTCTAGTGATTCTTTATAAATAGATTAGAAGAACAATTTGTAAATTAAAACATTTAATACACAGGAGAAAAATATAAACCATAACTTGTTCAAACTATTGCATAAAGGGATGGTAATCAATATTGGATGCTTGGAAGATGATCTGTACAAAAACAACAGGTAAAAATGGTTATCAAAGTTCAACAACAGTACCTAAAATCCCAATATTTCTATGCCTTCATGCAATCCCATGTTCCAGCTATCCACTACATAAAAAGGGAGGCCTTTGATTGAACAAAGTTCCTGGCCAAATATCTCTTACAATCCTCAAAAGGGCTTTGTAAACATGCCAATGATAATAATCTATTCACGGAAACAGAGCTGCACAAGATAGTTTCCAGTTTTTGAACACAAAACAATACCTGCAGACACAAACCATCTATCAGCACTTGATATCAATATATATTTTCATAATTAATGGATGTACAAATATATACAAATTGAAAACCAAACAGGATGCAATTTTATAACATTATTTATAAAGTAACAATGACCCAGCTACGGAATTTACAAATCAACAAGAACTCCACAAACACATTAGCTTGCACCATAGGATAGTATATAAGGGAAATATGATAATAGAAATGATATGTAATAAAATTCCATAGTCAATAAATTCCCCCTTTCATATGCATACAAGTATTTGAAACATTCAAACATGCATCTAAAGAATTTTTTTTTTTTTTGAGGGGGGGTGGGGGAGGGGAAGAAAAAAAATGAATTGGGTATCATCCATTTACCCCTAATATTTTTGCTTAGAAATGTTACATAAACACAAGAGGAACAAAGAAAATTAAAGAAATACGCACATTGATTTCCCATCTCTTTTGCTCCTACTACGGGACAAGAACAATTGCTTCAGTATTTTTAAAAAATTCCTAACCAAATATCAGAATTCAATAAAAGCCTTAATGGAAAACAATCAATTCCATGGGCTTTTTTTACCATGATGTTGCAAAGTACTAGTGAATCTTCAAAACTTGGATCAATTAATTCCTTTTCAATTCACTAACTTCTGTTTACATTTCTTTTCATATCCACTTCATTCTATGAAGCACAAACTTAAATAACATAGAAAGGGAGAAGGAAAACCCATTTATATTATGCAAGAACTTTATGACATAACATAGAAAGGTAGTTCAAACCCCTTCCTTTTTCCCTGCACTTCTTTGGGAAAGCTTCTGGGACCACGGTCAAAAGCTTCCACCAACACCAAGAGTCCACAACATAAAATATATTAAAAATGGTATTATAAATGAATCTCTGATAATAAAAAAATATTGAAAAAAGGAACAACAAACATTGAAATGATATAGCGGACACACATATTAGGATCTTAAAAGCAGTTCAGATCATTCACACCTCTAATATGAAAAAGGCCATAAAAAGAGAATATACAGAATCAATATGAAAACCAACGGGAATAATCATAACCAATTCAAGTGGCTCACTAATTGGCTTGACTACAAGGAGGTGTTTTTCCTTTTATGTTTACGTTCATGAATACACAAAGCCTTATCACTCTGTAACAATGCAAGAAAATCATCAGAACAACCAACAAAAATTAAAACACCTAACAAACCAAAACCCACACACTTCAATGTCATCGATTGTCAATTACACTATAGAACCAAAACATCGAATCATGAATCCAATCAAAAACAAATATATCTCATTCTCAAATCAAAATAAAAACAATGAATGCCTATCAACTGAAATCATAAAAAACAAACAAAACACACAAAGCCATAATCAAACAAGAACTACTCACATACAACTTCAATCCATATCTTCTGGAAAATTCCTCCATCTCCTTTCACCGCTGTCGTGCGCAGACCCACCTGCATCAAAAGGATTCCCCAGATATATTCTAAAAGTCCTGTGAACAGGCCTGTTACTCCCCCTTGCACCTGCACCGCCATTGTCGCTGCCACCACTATCTCTCCCACTGGACCTCGACCCATCACCGGCGTTCCCTTGCGTCCGATTCTCGTAATCGGCGTCGTCCGTGGGCAATTCGTACCGGCACACGGGGCAAGAGTTGTGCAGGCGAAGCCAGGGAATCAAGCAGTCACCGTGGTACACGTGCTTGCAGGGCATTTGCGTCACATGCGACCCCTTCTCGAACTCGTCCTGGCAAACCGCGCACTGGTTCAGCTCCGAGTTCAGCAAGTCGTCGTCGACGGTGACGGTGGGGAGGTTCTCGACGGCGTCCTTGGCGGCAGGCGGCGTGCCATAGCGGTTGGGGTCGTTGTCGGCGAGCTGCTGCATCAACTGCTCGAAGCCGGGGCCAAGGAAGTAGTCGCCGACGTTGCCCGAGGAGTGGCCGTGGCCGAATTCGAATTGGACGTTGGCGCCGCCGGCGCGGAGTTCCTGAAGGTGGTTCTGGAGGAAGATCAACGGGTCGAACATGTCGGGTTCGGGTCGGATCCTCGAAGCGGAGGATAACAAGAGAGGAAGGAGGGGGAAAGGGTGGAAGGGAAATTCGGAATCCGAAGAGTCGTCAGACTCTTGGTTAGGGTTTGCGTTAGGGTTAGGATTAGGGTTCCATTCCTCGACGAAACCCTCGAGACAGATCGGGCAGAACGGTTCCGAGTCATCGGCACACGTGACCCTCTGGCTGCACACGTGACAGAAGAACGGCTTTGCTCCGCCGCCGGCGCCGGAAGACATCATTCGTCGTCGTCAATCGAAACGCGACCTCTCGTTTTTCTTTCTTTTCTTTCTCTAACCGTTGAGGAAGATCTTGCTCTAAATAAATGGGTGGGCCCAGTTTGTTGGGCCTGACCCATAAACTAGTCCGGCCCAATGAAAGATTATGGATATTAGAAGATATATATTTTTATTTACTTTATTTATGTTCTTTAATATAATCTTCTTCTTCTGGTGGGAAGCCTCATCGATCGAGTTGTTGTTGTAAGCTAAATGTGTAGTCTCATTTCCTCCTCCAAGTCACACTGTAACTTGGGACAACTCCCTCTGCCACCTCTTCGCTCAGGGTAGGGTTACTGAATTTTCAATATTTACTGTTTTGTTGAGTTGTTTATATATATGTACATGGTTGAGTCATTCACTGTGTTGTGCGTGCAGCAATGGAATTGCGAGTGTGAGGATGAGTGGGAGAATGGAGGTGGTGTGTCGGGGAATGTTGAAACCAAGAAAGTTCATGCAGAGGAGGAGGAAATTGGAGGTTTTCAAGGATACGGCGGATGAAGCTGACCAGAGGAATTGGAGGAGAGTCATGACTGAAATTGAGGAGACTGGTTCTGCTGTGTCTGTGCTTTCCTCTGAGAAGATTATAAACCAGACTATTCCTAAGGACCTTGTGGTTGGTACCTTGATTAGGTTTAAACAACTCAAAAAATGGAACCTTGTTGTTCAGGTATATATCACAACATTGGATGCTGTGTTATTGTTTGGTTTGGATTGTAAACGATTCTAACTGCTTATTACTTGATTGTTTAGATTCTTGAATGGCTTCGGACTCAGAACTGGTGGGATTTTGGTAAGATGGATTACATCATGCTTATCACGGCTTATGGGAAGCTAGGAGACTTCAACGGTGCTGAGAAGATCTTGGGCTTGATGAATAAGAATGGTTATCCACCAAATGTGGTGTCTCAGACTGCACTTATGGAAGCATATGGAAAAGGAGGCAGATATAAAAATGCCGAAGCAATATTCCGTAGAATGCACAAATGGGGTCCTGAACCTTCCGCAGTGACATACCAGATAATACTTAAAACATTTGTTCAGGTAAGCTTAACTTTTTGTCCTATGCACTTTTGTTTCCTTTTAAAATTTGATTTCTCTTTTGGCTATTATTTGCGGTGCTGGAGGTTGTTGAATTCCTGGTTTTCTGTGAGAAATTTAAAATAAAATTCAAATTGCCTATCTTCTTAAATTAACAAGCACTTAATGGAATTTGAATTTTATGAGTTTGTCAAGGAATGTGTACGGTCTTACCATACTACTCTAAGCTGTAAATAAGGGCCCTGTAATGGCTTTTCAACTCCAACACATCCCCTCACGTGTGTTGAAACATGGAGATTGATGGTTTCTGTTGAGCTCCATAATGTTTCTTTGATAAACTATGATGAACTCAATATGCATTTCTTAAATGTTATACAGACTACAGATTGCTTTTGAGTCTTTGACATTCAGTTTTGCATTTATATAATTGATTCTCCCCCAGGGGGACAAGTACAAGGAAGCTGAAGAAGTATTTGACAGTCTACTGAATGATGAAAATTCACCTTTGAAACCCGACCAGAAGATGTTTAATATGATGATTTATATGTATAAGAAGGCTGGAAGTTATGAAAAGGCCAGAAAGACATTTGCATTGATGGTTGAACGGGGAGTTGAACAATCTACTGTAACATATAACAGCTTGATGTCATTTGAAACAAATTACAAGGAAGTTTCAAACATATATGATCAGGTAACATTAAATATCTAACTTTTATACAAAATGTGATTTTATCTCTGTTGTATTCTGTGCATGTTTATCACAGACAACATTCTTTTCTGAGGGCTGAACATGCGTACTTTTAACATCATATTACTGTATTATTTCAAAAAAAGAAGAAACGGGTTTTGAACTAACTTTTGTTAAATAAAATGGGCTTGGCATATTCTACATGAATAATAACATGTTTGGGTACTTATGTCAGTTATGTGAAATTATAATTCTCCTTCATATAAGATAACTAAGTTTAGTTTCAATATTCAACCGTTTTGGCTTTGTGTTTTTGTCCTAGAGGTACAAAACAGTCGTACCTGATTGTTAATTCCTACAAGTAGATGATTTGAATTCTGTTATGGTTTGAAAAATATCTCTTTGTGCTAGTTCGGTCAGAATTTTATTAAAACATGAAAATTGGTGAAATTAAGTCCTTACACACAAGAAGCACTTATATTGTCAAGACTTTCATGGACAGATAATTTATTTAATCTGAGGTATTTTCAAGACTTTCCATTAGTTTTCATCTTGTTTCTCCGTTCCCCCTTTAATTTCTTGCTTATAATTAATTCATCAGATTTTGAAGTGAATGCCTAATTTTAGATGCAAAGAGCTGATCTCAGTCCTGATGTTGTGAGCTATGCCTTACTCGTAAGTGCGTATGGGAAGGCCCGGAGGGAGGAAGAAGCATTAGCTGTATTTGAGGAAATGCTTGACGCTGGTGTCAGGTATGTCAGAAAATAAAATTATTAATGCCATGAATTAACAGAAACTGGATAATTTAGTTTATTAATTTTAAGTTATTATCAGCATAGTTATTATCAATTACATAATGCATTTTTTAGAAGTCATGCATTCAAACTTCTATATTTACAAGCATTATTTCAATGCTAAATATCAATCACTTAAACATCAGTCTGTCTTGTTGCTATTACGAGTAAATCATTGAAATATTCAATTTCATGTCTGTACCATGCCAACCTCAACTCATATCTTCTAGTCCTATACAAATAGTTTTTCTCCTTAAATATTTTTTGATACTTATTTAAATTCCGTAAATAGTTATTTTCTGATTCTGTTGCTTAATTAGTTTTATTTTGTTTTATATTATCTACTAAAAAATTATTTAAATTTATTATTATCATTAAAAAAAGTAACGGTATACTCTTCTTTTCCACAGACCAACTCGGAAGGCTTACAATATTTTACTCGATGCATTTTCTATATCGGGAATGGTAGACCAGGCTCGGACTGTGTTTAAAAGCATGAGAAGGGATAGGTAAGTTGTATTTCCTTTCTTCTTTAGTATATTAGGCAAACAATTTTACATTTTTCTTTCTCTAGTAATTTTTAGATTTCACTATTTCAAATTAGTCCTATATCATTTATTTTTTGTCAAATTTGTTTCCCCATTAAATAAAAAGTTCTTACGTGGCATTGATTCTGGTAATTGTGTTGTAAACTTGTAATTGACTATTAAACTTCTCAAAAGTTGTCATGTTTAGCAAATATATTGAAACTTAAACAGAAGAAATATAAGGTTCAAGGTTCATTCTTTCTCACTTCATATCAGTGCTTCCTCTTTGTTCTTTTTTTTTTTTTCTCGTATAATTTTTTAGCTACTAAAATCTTTATTTAGTTGCTAATTTCGCAAAAGGTCATTTAACGTAGTCTTTTAATACTTCAATTATCTCCAACATTTAAGGACGGAAATGATCAACTTTTTGGGAAGTCAGGGACAGAATGAGAGTTTAAAATATCAGAAAGCAGCCAATGGCATAATGGATTCAGCTTTGATTAGAAGTAAATAACGAGCGTTTTTTGTGATCACTTAAAATTAATGTACCGAATGAAATTAGAATTTAGTGAATATATGTTACTGTCGACATTGTTTTAGATCACAACACTGAGCATTCTCTTCGTATCGTGGTGCTTTTCACATGCAGATTCTTTCCAGATCTTTGTTCATACACTACCATGTTATCAGCTTATGTCAATGCATCTGACATGGAGGGTGCTGAGAAGTTTTTCAAAAGATTGAAACAAGATGGCTTTGAGCCCAATGTTGTCACTTACGGAACCTTAATTAAAGGGTATGCTAGGATAAGTGATCTTGAGATGGTAATGAAAAAGTATGAAGAAATGCTTGGGCGGGGAATCAAGGCCAATCAGACAATTTTGACCACTATCATGGATGCATATGGAAAAAGTGGAGACTTTGGCAGTGCTGTTCATTGGTTTAAGGAAATGGAGTCTAGTGGGGTTCCTCCTGATCAGAAAGCAAAAAATGTCCTTCTATCTTTAGCAACAACAGATGAAGAAAGGAAAGAGGCTAATGAGCTCGTAGTGCATTTCAGTGAAAATAACAGTTTACATAATCTTAATGGCACTGTTAAACTTGTTGAAGATGAAGAAGAAGATAGATATGAATATTTTGATGCACAGCTCGCCAGGGCTTATGATGAACATTCCGTAGAGGTAAGGTAAGTTGACTGTAAAGTCCTTTGAGGCATGGACACTACAAATTTTGTACACTATGTAATTTTGGGTATTTTGTGTACCATTATTATCAAGCAATTGAAAGTATTTAACTTAAGCATAATATACTCCTTTATGTATCATCATCATCCATTTATGTTCACTCTTTGCTTACCAAAAAAAAATCCATTTATGTTAACGGTATCCTTACAGTGTCGTTGGTAATAACTAAAATTGTTGTGACAAAAAAAATACTAACTTAATTATACTCTGTCCTTTTCTGTTTTGTCTCTTAATTTGGAGTAGTATGCGTATTTTTTATCCTTTAAGTTTTGTTGGAACTAAGTTTTTTTTTAATTTAAATTAAGCAAATTAGGTTTTCATTTATTTATTTTCACGTAAAACTCTTAAATTTTTATTTTATGTTCATATAATTGAGGGTTTATTGATATGGAGTACGATATAATTTTGAAATTTTAGAAGCGAATAATTTAGTTGAAAAATTGATAAAATTTGAAAGATTTTGTGGAAAATAAGAGAAAATAGGAAATTGAGATTTCTTTTTTGGTTGAAATTTGATGTTTTGATTGGTAAACCGAGATTAAGAAGATTTAAGACGTCACCGATTCAGTTTATGAAGACTTTGAGTAAAAAAAAAATTGGTAGAAGGATGAAATTTATTTAATTTTCAATAAAAGACTTCATTGAATTAAAAAATAAAAAATAAAAGACCAAATCAGGCATAATACAAGTTAAAAAAATTTACAATTAACTTAAACAGTGGTCTAGAATTTGTTAGGGGGGAAATCCTCTAATTATAGTCTTATAAAAATTAGTATAATTGACTTTGTTCCAGTACAAATAAAATTAGTAAAAATTTCCGTACATTTCAGCTAATCCAAACGATATCTGTAATCTCTACCACACGTAGATATTGATCAAATCTTCAAATCTCAAAAATCTAAATAAGGCATAAGAGACATAGGTAGCGCGAAAGTGATTGTTAGAACCTAATTTTAGTAATGACCACTAATTTACGAGAAACTAACATGCATACAAGCTCTCCCTATAAATTCCCCATTTTTTATCAAACAACTCAAGAAGCAAAGAAAGAAACATTTTTTAGAAGATGTATATCAATACAAGGTGTTAACGTAGTCTATTTGCAATCATCAAGCCGTATCATCAATCAACTTTGGAATTCAACCCAAAGATTTGTTGTAATAATTAACCACATCTTAAACGATGGCAGGAGGAACTTTTGTAGATTCAGGAAATGCAAAGCAATTTGATGGCAAAGTCACAGCATTTGTGTTGGTTACATGCTTTGTGGCAGCCATGGGAGGCTTACTCTTCGGTTATGATCTCGGTATCACCGGAGGAGTAACTTCCATGGAACCATTCCTGATCAAATTCTTCCCCCGTGTTTACAAACAAATGAAAGATGATACTGGCCATAGAAACCAATATTGCAAATTTGACAACGAACTCCTTACTCTATTTACATCTTCTTTATATATTGCTGCATTAGTAGCTTCTTTCTTTGCCTCGGCAACTACAAGAGTATTAGGGCGTAAGTCTTCAATGTTTATGGGAGGCTTGTTTTTTCTTGTAGGCGCATTATTAAATGGCTTTGCCATCAACATTGAAATGCTCATCATAGGTCGTATCTTGCTTGGTTTTGGCGTAGGATATTGTAATCAGGTAAGATTGCTTGACATTCATAATATTAATATATATTCATTCTCTCCAAAATGATGAGAATGAAACAATAATGATAGGCCTTAAGATGTGCAGACGTAGGTCAAACATTCACATTTAGCTCGCGTGACTATATCCATGATCTAGTTTTGTTTTTGAGTTTTGGTGTAATATTATCATGAATAATTATTGTATACTATTTTCAACAGTCTGTTCCGGTGTATTTGTCTGAAATGGCTCCAGCAAATATCAGAGGTGCACTTAACATTGGCTTTCAAATGATGATCACAATTGGTATCTTAGTTGCAAACCTTATCAACTACGGGACTTCCAAACTAGAAAATGGATGGAGAATTTCTCTAGGTGTTGGAGCTGTTCCTGCAATCATGCTATGTGTTGGATCTCTTTTCCTAGGTGACACACCTAATTCCTTGATTGAAAGAGGCCAAAGGGAAGCAGCTAAGACAATGTTGCAAAAGATTCGTGGCATAGAGAATGTTGATGAGGAATTCCTAGATCTTGTTGATGCATGTGAGGCAGCTAAAGAGGTGCAACACCCATGGAGGAACATTACACAGCCAAAATACAGGCCTCAACTCACTTTTTGCATTCTTATTCCGTTCTTCCAACAACTCACTGGCATCAATGTTGTCATGTTTTATGCACCTGTTCTTTTCAAGACTTTGGGCTTTGGCAGCAATGCTTCCCTTATGTCTTCAGTTATCACCGGAGGTGTCAATGTGGTTGCCACTTTTGTTTCCATCCTCACTGTAGACAAGTTTGGAAGGAAAATTTTATTCCTTGAAGGTGGCATTCAAATGCTTATTTGTCAGGTAAAAATTAACTCAATTAATAATTAGTACTTCATAATTTACACGCATACACATATATAGAATTTGTTAGCGTATATTCACTTATATTTTAGTTGAAGCAGGTTAGTAGATTATTTTAAAATACACAGGCGTAACTTGCTAACTAAATGTGATAATATTTCTTGTAGATTGCTACCGGAGTCATGATTGCTATGAAGTTTGGAGTGAGCGGTGAAGGGTCATTTTCTTCAGGAGAAGCCAACCTTCTTTTATTCTTTATCTGTGCATTTGTTGCGGCATTTGCATGGTCTTGGGGTCCATTGGGATGGTTGGTACCAAGTGAAATATGCTCTCTTGAGATTCGATCTGCAGGTCAAGCTTCCAATGTGGCTGTAAACATGTTGTTTACTTTTGCTATTGCTCAAATTTTCCTAGCCATGCTTTGCCATTTGAAGTTTGGACTCTTCTTCTTCTTTGCTGCATTTGTGCTCATTATGACCATTTTCGTTGCCTTGTTCTTGCCTGAGACGAGGAACGTCCAAATTGAAGAAATGCAGAAAGTGTGGAGGTCACATTGGTTTTGGACAAATATTGTTCCTGATGCTGATGATGATCGCAAGCCTAGCAAGGCTCAAACTTGAGTAAAGAAACCCTATGATATGAGGAGTGAAAATGGAAAAAACATAAAATCAGTGTTGCATTATCATGTATTAGTAAAGATTTAAGAATTGATTGATGAATGAATATATTTTTCACGCCCAAATATTTTGACTTTATCCCTTTATTATTGGTATGGTGCGAGATTTAAGGTTATTTAAAAAATCAACGTTATTTGACAAACATAATAAATTGACTCATTCGATCACTTTGATAATATGACCAATAAAAATAAAAATAATAAATAATATTTAACCTAATTTTCAATATGCTAAATTTAGTAAATTTTTATGAAAATAATTAAAACAATAGTATTTGAAAGAAAACTGTTTAAAATTATAAAAGAAGATCGAAGCATAATAAAAGATGTCCAGCTAAGATGACAACAAAAGTGTTTTCCATAAAAAAAATATATATTTGTAATCTCTAAAAAAAATGTATCACTATGTTTTTTCGGAAGTTGGCTCTTATAGTTATTTTCCTGATTGCAGAATCCTAGACAGAAAGTATATCTTATCATACAATTTTTAATTTTTAATACTATTTTTTAACTTGCAGTTTTCTAAAAAATTTGAATTACTTATCTGTTTCCATTTTAAATCTTTTCTACATTTATTTGTATTTAACTTCATCAAGTTTTAATTTTGAATATTGAATTAATGAGTTCCAACCCTGAATAGAACAGAAATTTATACAAATGAACCAAATGATAAGGAAATGTATTTGCATCTTCAGAAATGATACAGATTATACAACTGTAAAAGCCTGTTAAACTGTTTCATACAAGATATGGGAACAAACAATGCTCCTATATTACAGGTCTCTCGGAACATGTCAGAATTTTGAAACATATATGAACATGACTATGAAACTGATATTGATTCCAATAAAGCATCCAGGTACTCTTTAAGTTTCACTTTTGTAATTGCACCTTCCCTTCTGCTTTCTGGAACTTCTTGCCCGTTCTTGAAGAGTATTAACGTGGGTAGTCCATAAACTTTATACTCTTCAATTAGTCCTGGGTTGGCATCATGATCAATCTTCACAACAGTTAATCTGTCTTCATATTCCTGAAGATCAATAATAAGGAGAGAAAAAATAAGACCCTGAAGAACACTTGACATTAGTTTCTAAAAAAATCATATTATTTGTCTCATATTCAATGAAAATTATACTCCATGAATCATACTATTGGTCATTTAATTGTCCTTACATGTCCAAAATTGGTATAAATTAGAAAGCATTAAACTAACAAAGCTCTCCATTAATACAACAATCATCAAACGAACAAATCCAAGGTCCAAGATCACCAAAGTTTATGAAAATCAAGTATTTCTCCATTTCACCATTGTGTACTCTGTTACTATGAGATTTGAATCACCTGGTGCGAAACCTAGAAATCAATCACTGATCCACACACCCCAAGAATTTATGCAAGCGATATGGGACATGAACTAAGTTGGTGAAAGAATACCTTAGAGAGGGATTCCATAGCGGGAGCGATGAGACGGCAAGGACCGCACCAAGTAGCCACGAACTCAACCAGAACCGGACAGTTAGCCTTCAACACCGTCTCTTTGAATTCAGTCTCCTTGATCTCCCTCACGCTCGCACCGCATGTCACCGTGCGTTGAGGAACCGCACACAAATGCTTCCCAAAACCGTGCCTTGTTCTGAGAGAGGAGAGTCTCTGGCTGAGCGACAAAAAGTGAGAGGACGAGGTAGATGCAGACACTGTACGAACCGGAGGGAGAGCGAGTGACAGTGTCACCGATGCTG